ACTGCCCCCGAGGGAATCCCCCTCCCACTGTGACCACATACTTCCCTGGGCTACTTGTCCAAGGGCTGGGGGAAGGAGGAGCGGGGAAGCAGGTAGCCCGGGCCTCTGGCCCACTGAGTCTTGCTGCAGGGACAGTATACTCCCAGCAGCCCTGGCTGCGTCTCCGAGGCAATCAGTTGACAGTAGTCCGAGAACCCAGACCTTATCTGCCACGCTTGCTCCCATGCATTGTGGATGTGTACTCAAACATGACTACAGCATCATGGTTTATGCTCAAAGTGACGAGTAGAAGCCATGTGCTCTACCTTTGAGAGGGAGTGTACACCGTGCTAGACAAATAGATACAGCATGCCAAGTGGCTAGGACACAGACAAGGGGTCTTCATTCACAGTGATGTGTCTCCCCCTGTGTTACAATCCATGGAGGATCACTTCATTCCCAGGATTTAGAACTAATCCTTATGTGAATACACACAGGGGATCGATTGGGCCCAAGCCACAGTTTGTGGTGTAACATATGGGTCATGGAGGAGGGCACAAGGCTCAGGGAAATTGTGTGCAGGGCTGACTGACCACCTTGCCATCTTCTGTGTTCTCTGTAGCTGTACCAGCTGGGAGCAAGGGACCATCCAGCCCCACGCTGCCAGCACCAATGATGCAGGGACCAGCCAGGCAGCGTGACCAGCTCCTCCAGCAGCACGTGCAGGCCATGGAGCAGATGAAGGAGGCAGTCAGCAACACGCTTTGAGCCGATCTGGAGTGGCAGGAGCAGGCATAGGGGCAGTTCCTCCAGCGTTGTGATTGCATGTGTGACACCATATCCTCACTGACGTCACACATTGGCCATGACCCTTGTCCCCTCCTGCTGCCCCTCCTGCTGCCATTGCCATGCCCCCTCCTGCTGCACCCCGTCCTGCCCACGTCCCTGTGCTGCCTGTCCCAACCCGGCCTGAAGGGCGCCGAGGCCTCCACACCTGAGGAGGCACTGGGAGGAGCCGTCCCTCCCAGCAATAACTCCCCCTCCCAGTTCAGAGCCCCCTCTCACTGCCCACCCTTCATCCCCCAATGTAAATAATAGTTTATTTTTTGGTTAACGAAAACAGTTGTGTTTATTGGGAGGTGAGGGAAGGGGGCGAAGCAAGGGTTGGAGATGGGCGGGGGATGTGGACACAAGACAGAAGTGACCTACTGTGGGGCCTGCGAAAACATCTCCCTGAGCGCCTCTCCTATGCACACCCCATCATGGTGCCCCTGCCGGATGGCGGCTGTCTGGGGCTGCTATATCTATGCCCCCTCCTGCTGCACCCCGTCCTGCCCACGTCCCTGTGCTGCCTGTCCCAACCCGGCCTGAAGGGCGCCGAGGCCTCCACACCTGAGGAGGCACTGGGAGGAGCCGTCCCTCCCAGCAATAACTCCCCCTCCCAGTTCAGAGCCCCCTCTCACTGCCCACCCTTCATCCCCCAATGTAAATAATAGTTTATTTTTTGGTTAACGAAAACAGTTGTGTTTATTGGGAGGTGAGGGAAGGGGGCGAAGCAAGGGTTGGAGATGGGCGGGGGATGTGGACACAAGACAGAAGTGACCTACTGTGGGGCCTGCGAAAACATCTCCCTGAGCGCCTCTCCTATGCACACCCCATCATGGTGCCCCTGCCGGATGGCGGCTGTCTGGGGCTGCTTGAACACCTGGCCCTCGTCTGCCATCCACTCCGGGAGGAAGGCCTCCCCCTTCCTCTCAACTATGTTGTGCAGCACACAACATGCTGCGACCACCTCCGTGATGTTCTGCTCGCCCATGTCGAGACGGGTGAGCAGACAACGGAATCTCACCTTCAGCCATCCGAAGGCACACTCCACCTGGTTGCGGGCCTGGTTCAGGTGGAGGTTGAATCTTCCCTGGCTGGGGTCCATGCATCTGGTGTATGGCCGCATCAGCCACGGCATAAGGGGGTAGGCCACATCCCCCATGATGCACAGTGGCATGCAGAAATCCCCAACCATCAGTTCCCACTGGGGGAAGAAAGTGCCCACCTCCAGCCTGCAAAACAGGCTGGCGTTTCGGAGGATGCGGGCATCATGTGCCCTGCCCAACCTCTCCACATATATGTCCGTGAAGCGGACACAGTGGTCCACAAGGGCTTGGAGCACCATTGAGAAGTACCCCTTCCTATTGACCAAGTGGGCCGCTTGATGCTCTGGTGGCTGGATGGGGATGTGGGTCCAATCCATGGCCCCCTGCAGTTGGGGAACCCCAGGGCAGCGAGGCCAGCCACGGTTGTGTCCACATCCCGCAGGCAGATGACCCTCTTGAGCAGGATGTCTGTGATGGCTCTGACAACCTGCAGAAGGGCACACAGAAACACAGGAAACACACAGAATGAGACTGGGTGGGCACATAAGCTCTTGAGGGGTTCCTGCTCCCCTCTGATTCCCTCTCCCCCCAAATATGCCAGGGCCCTGCAGGCCCCCCCCTCCTACCAGCAGGCCTATGTGAGGGAGGGACGGCACAAGCCCCTGGGTGACGGGGCTTCCCCACTTCATCGCCCCCAGCCTGGACTCTTCTCTTCCCCCGGGCAGGGACTGCAGCCCCCCCACCCCCAGGGGCCTTACCTTTATCAATACAGCACCCACTGTGGACCTGCCCACCCCAAACTGGTTTGCCACTGAGCAGTAGCTGTGTGGTGGGTCACAGCTGGGTGTTGCGTCTCCGGAGTGCAGGGGAGAGCCAGGCACACAGCTCCAGGAACGTCTGCTTCTGCATCCGAAAGTTCTGGAACCAATGCTGGTCGTCCCATTGCTCCAGCACCAGCCGGTCCCACCAGTCGGAAGTGGTGTCAAGTCTTCAGTATCACCTCTCCATGGTCAGGTAGGGATACCACAGCGAAGCCGCCGCATCCAGGGAGAGGGACTCCAGATTGAGCTCAGCGTCAAGCTCTTGCAGGAGTAGAGAGGCAGCATGGAGCAGCAGCTGCAGGCACTCCAAAATGGTCGTGTGGGGCCAGAACAGGCACAGGGCTGTCCCTGGCTCCATGGCATAACAAGGAGAAGGCAAAAGTCCCCAAAGGCACTAGGGCAAGAGCTGTGGTGTCTAAAGAGGCTGAGGGCAACCACAACAGGCACTGCGACAGCTTTCAGTCCCTACAAGAGGTCCCAAAGCACACAGCAGCAGAGAAACGGCTGTCCAGGGAGATCCCTTTAAGCACGTCTCTTAGCAGGGTTCCAGCACCTGCCCCCGGAAGGTACTGGTGCCTTTTTGCCCTGTCCTAAGTGGTTCGGGGGGGGCAGGGCTTTGCACAAGAGCATCCCGCCAGCGTGGATGCTCTCTTGCACAAAAGTGCATTGCTTTTGTGATGTGCTTTCAGCAGTGTTGACGTGCTCTTGTGCAAGAACTTTTGTGCACGAACTCTAGTGCAAAACAGTTCTTGCGCAAGAAGCCTGGAGTGTAGATGTAGCCTCCCAGAAATATCGATCTTATCCACACAAATCACACACAGACATGAGTCAGATATGTCCCTTCTGACTCAGCTCCTATGAATAAGGGATGGGGGCAAACCACTCAGAGCTGAAAATAACTTCAATTTCTTACAGGTACTGTCATATTGCACCCTTCTCCAGGGTGGCTCAGGGCAGGGTTGTGGGATGGGTGGGCTTAGGACAGGGTGTGGGGGGGGGGGGGCAGGAGTCAGAGTTGGGGTGTGTGTGGAGGGGCTCAGAGGAGTATGTGAATGTAAGGTGGAGTTGGGGGACAAGGGTGCTATTTAGGGAGGGGATTTGTACCAGGACATTGCTTTCCATTCCCCTTCATCACCCTCAGGGAGCAAAAGGAAAGCACACTGCATGAGTCACTCACTCCTCTGTCTCCCCTCCTCCCAGCCTAGAGCAAGAGGCCTGCTGGCATATTATGTGTGTTCTCCTCTCGCAACCTGAGAGTGAGGTGAAGAGCAAAGCATCCTGGTATGGATCTCAGAGGGGTTGGGGGCTTCAGCCACCCTGCCCTCCCTAAATGGCACCATGGGGGAGGAGGGCACTGGGGCTAGGGCAGTCCCAGACCAGTGGGGCAGGCATGCCCCCAGGCTGCTGCCCCTTTAGCTTGCTTGGCTGCCTATAGTGCTTAGTGTGGCAGCCTGCAGGAGACCTGCAGCTGAGTGCCCCAGCCAATGAGCTCTTTCTTGCTTGAGCAATGCATCAGGGTGCACCTGTTATCACTTACACTTACCCACAAACACCTGACATACATCAACCAGTCATATGCCCAGATGCTTACATGTAGCACTCACACATGTACCAATCCTCTATAGCACTTGCATGCACTGATTTCTTAGGTATGAAACATTCACATTGTTGCTGGATTCTTATTTTTCCATCTCCCTGAATGGAAGACCTTCTTCTAGAGCCTTTGTTTTGCTTGCTTAGAGCTGATGTAATGAATGTAATGGGTCCTCTGTTCTCTTTGTAGAAGGGAATGTTAATTATTTTCAGCAGACTAATTACACTGCTAATGAGAGGCTGTACTGCAGTGATATTCCCTTTAATTACTTGTTCGTAAGTACTGTGCTGAGCTGTTTTGGAACATACTATTAAATGCAAATGCCTGTGTCTGGCTTGGAGATGTGCCTTTAGGCTCTCCAGAAGAAATACTTTGCTAAGTTTAAGAGTCCATGCGATGCAGAAAGTTGAAGAAATGAAAATAGTTCTTGGAGCCACCTAGTCAGTGACCTACCAGGAAAACTGTTTGCTTTCTTTTCCATATGAATTATATGGTTATGAAAGTGAAAGGATTTTTGTTATTTCTAATTTAGCAGTACCTGGAGGTCACAACCAACATCAGGGCTCCATGGTACTATGCTATATAATTAGACATGGTCCCTACACCAAAGAGCTCATAGTCTAAGGAAGCAGCTCTTCTGCAGCTGGTAGTGCCAGATACCTTCAGCCAAGTTCACAAATACACCTCAGTTCTGATTCTGACATGTCCTTGTCCTTTTCTCCCTGAATCCTGCAGGTCTTCTCCTTATGTCCTCCGAAGTCTTTGCTACCTAAATTGCTGACAAAATGGCATGTTTTATGTCAGTCCTAAGAGAGCCACAGTATCGTAGCTGGTGTTCAAATTGTGGTACCCTCCCCTGATGCTCCTCATTCTGGATCTGCAGCATGTCCTTTATCCAAATGCTGGGACACCTTTGCAAAGGAACCTCATGTTTTTCTGTGTCACCCTCACCTGTTCCAGTCCTGGAACCTCACACCATTCTCCCAATGTACCTCGACCCTGACCTGATGCTCATGACCTGAGACTCCAAACACACAGTAAGCTTTGCTGGTGCCCTTTCAGTGTGGTTATTCTTCCAGTCACAGGGGAGATATGGAAGGAGTGGTACTGTGGGGCTGTCGCTTGCCAGGGAGGAAGAAATGTTTGTTTAATGGCCATGCTAGAAGTCAGTGAAAGATGGAGTGTTGATCGAATTCTGAAAGTCCAGTGTTTTTCAAATACAACAGGCCACTTCATGTGTAGTTAAAGCAACTAAAAGTCGGGTGATCTTGGGACCTTCAGAAGGAGTGAAGTGGACCCCCAGGAGACAGAAGATCCTACCCAGGTGTGAACTATCAGCATGATGTGCTGAGAGTCAGCTCCAGCACTCTGAGACTTCTGCCATAGCTCCCTCAGAATGGTCACTCTTCCAAGTGGGCCAACCTAAGTGAGACCAGAGGCAAATTGGGCTGACCTCTTCAGGGATCACATCCACCTTGTTGGACTTTTCCAAGAGACCTGAATCGAAGGCTCAGTTTTGTTTTGTCAGTTTGGCATGAGAATGCCTTTCCTTGCTCCTGGCAGGCACTGCACCTGCCCTTTGTATTCTCTCCACAGCAAAGAGGTTGCCAAGCTCTGGGAGGCTAAGTGGGTGAACAGTGATGCAGGCTCAAAATCATTCATACCACCAGACTGCTGAGGGAATGATAATCCCTCAGGGAAAAATTCTTCAGAATGCAAGTAGGTCATTTGTTTCTGCTTCTTGCACTCCCTTTATTTTTTCTTGTCTTCCCAAACCCCTCACCCACTGGCTGTTGCTTGGCTCAAAATGCTTTGAAGCAGTTTCTCAGTGTTACTTTAACACTTGATGTGGAGATAAAAATGTGTCCAGGCCTACGGGTGCACCGCAGCTGCTTTGTATCTCACTGCTGGCATAAACTGCCTCTATAGCTGGTGGAACAGGCCCTGGCAGGATCACTCCAGAGCAAGAGTGATCCTTCAGTGGTGCAGAGATGACATAGGATGCTGCTGGGATAGGAGGGGAAAAGGTGCGGCCAGAGGAAACAGGCATGACCAAGACACTCCTGTTACTAATCCAGTCCTCTGTTATGTTTTTGCTCTCTTGGTGCTATTTACAAACAGCTGATTAAAGCAGATTTCTGAAGGCGGGGAGCTAGGTTGGTTAGAGGCAGTGCCAAGATTAGGAGAGTGCACAGATGATCATTTAAGCCACTTCTGAACACAAACCTCTGACGTGCACTCTACAGAGTAGCTGCTTCCCATATCTAAGTTTGTATATATACCGTTTAAAGTTCCCTTGCCTGCCTGACTAATACCACAATAACATTTTTATCATTACTCTGGAAATAATTTTTTGAAAATCTTTGCTTCACTGAAGCTGTTTTTCTGTTCTTTGGACTTTACTCATCTCAGACAGTGAAATTAGACTGCTCAGTTTCACTTTATAGGTTGCATGCCAGCACAAGGCTAAGTTTAAAGGGAGCGTATAAAGCTACGAAATCTGAATGATAGTATTTTACATTGACTCCATTCAGGTGTGAGTGACTGCACAAGATGCAATGCAGTGGCAAATCAGGCCCTGTGAGGTGTCTTTAATATAAGGATTGATTGCATACATTTTGAAATTAGTCCATACTTGTGGATTTTATCAATATCTCTTCCTTTTAGTGTGGATAGAGTTGAACAGTTGGGGTATGTCTAGACTACATGGCTCCATCGACAGAGCCATGTAAACTAGTTTTCCGGGCATAGGCAAAGAAGCGGGAGTTTAAATAATCCCCGCTTCATTAAAATAAACATGGCCGGCACGCTGTGCCGACGATCAGCTGATCCGGCACAGCGTGGCAGTCTAGACACGGATCTGTCGGCTGGGGAAGCCTTTGCCGACCGATCCCTTATGCCTCGTGAAACAGACTGCCATGCTGTGCCGGATCAGCTGATCATCGGCACAGCGCGCCAGCCGTGTTTATTTTAATGAAGCAGGGATTATTTAAATCCCCGCTTCTTTGCCTATGCTGGGTAAACTAGTTTACATGGCTCCATCGACGGAGCCATGTAGTCTAGACATACCCTTGAAGTCTTGCTTGCCGCTGATAATGCACCTCTTAGACTAGATGACATAACACAATATACTCCTCTAGAGTGAAGTACCTACAGGCAGTCCCTGGGTTACGTACAAGATAGGGACTGTAGGTTTGTTCTTAAGTTGAATCTGTATGTAAGTCGGAACTGGCATCCAGATTCAGCCGCTGCTGAAACTGATCAGTTTCAACAGCG